ACGTGCCTACCGTTGGCGGGCTTGAGACTTTGTGGGTCGGACATTCCCTGTCTTGGCTGCTGCGGTCGGTCTGGGTCTGGGCTGATTGCGTCGGTCGCTGTGTGTACAGGGGTCAGAGCTGTCTGTGTTCTTCCTTCCAGCTGTCCGGACGGAATCCGCAAGCCACAAGAAACATTGAGACATCACGTTTATCATCTTGCTCCGAATAACACCATACGTACATACCTCATATACCAGCAGCCTTCGCTTCAATCACAACAGTGGCCAAATACGATTACATGGAGTCGCTCCGTCAAGTGAACAGTGCCGCCCTTCGCCCACATCGCTTCCGCCTTGGTCCCTGCTCCAACGCAATCATCAAATCCGACAGGTCGCGCCCCCCCTTGCCGAGGAGGGCATCGATCGCGTGAAATCTCCCGGTCTAATGCCACTGCGCCCCGCCACCGCTGCCAGACGCCCAAGACATTGATCGAGGCACAGACTCTCGTGTCGCAGACGCCAACGCCGACGCAGACGCAGACACGCATCCGATCCAAAAATGCTGTCGCACCTTCGCTTCCATCGACGAAATGGCGTCCCGTCGACTCCCACCTCGCCTTCACACGACCAGCAACCCGCAGCCGCAGCTGCCTGGGAACCCGGCCAGGACGGCTCGCCGCTCTCGGAGATGCGGCCGCGGTCATCCAACTCAGCGCACGCCCCGCCGCTCACCCTACCGCCCACCTTGCCGCCCATCGCCCGGGTGACCTCGGCCGACCCTCATCTCTCCCCCGAACCGCGAGATGACATCCGACCCGTGTCGCAAGACTCGCGAACAGCCCCCGGCCGCTCCACACACGGCTTCATGGGGGGATTGGGTCTGCAGGGCCGTCGATGGACCGCTCAGGGGACGCAGCGAACAGAGCCGACCGAAGAGATACCCCACCAGCGTCCCGACAGCCACCTGTCGCGGACGAAACCTGCGCCGCCTCCCATCACCACCGTCTTCACCTCTCGCCCTGCGCAGAAGGCCCCGCCGTCATTCGTCACCCCGACTGATCTCCAACAAAGCGCCGGAGGAGTCGCTGGAAAGCGACCAGCCGGCACACGTCTCACAAGCGAGCCTGCCCCTTCGACGACCCCGATCTCAGCTCCCGAAGCTCACAAGGGAAAGCGCAGCCTGCCGTTCCTGAAGAATCCCATGTCGTCACTGCTGATGAGGAGAAAAACAAGCCAGCCGGCGCCTGATATCCAACCACCGCCCTTCCAGGGGGAGCCGAGTTATGATCCGCGCATTAGGGGGACAAAGGTCCATGATTTCAGTGCTCCGCGACCAAAGAGGGGTCTTTCGAGTACCGAGGCTGCGGCGAGCTCGGCCGTCAATCCCGACCCAACTAGACAAGCAGAACAGTCTATATCCGCCGGAGGACCTGGCAGTGAATCGATTGCCTCGTCCCGGCGGCTATCCGGTTTCGATCCTAACCAGCAGCGTGATCCCGTCAGCTACGAGCCTCTGCACAGCACCCCGTCTGGCCATTCCAAGACGAACTCTACCGACAATCGGCCATTCTCCGTCAGCAAGCCGCTGCCTGAACCACCGGTGCCGTCGGTACCAGAGGAAGCTTCTGCTACATCCGTACGCACCTCATCCTCGTCCACCACGAGGGCACCCTCGAGAAAGTCCTCCATCCTGCCCAGCTCCTCATCTTCGGTCAAAACAGCAAGATCCTTCCATAGGTCGCTCTCTGGGATCTCCGCGCGTGAGTCTGTTAGGTCTGGTATCCCCAGACATATGAAGAGCACATCGTCCCGTTTCAGTTTCGACATGGTCGGGGCTGCGAACCAAGAGAAGGTCCTTGAGGAAAGGCACCGGCAACGTGAGCAAGAAAAGAAGACAACCGACGTCACCTCGGGTAGTCGCGACTCAAGATTCGATGACTTTGACGATGACAGCTTCGACTACGATGCCATGATGGATGACGATGGCCTGGAGGAGAGAATTCCCGGCGTCAATACGGATTTGGAGGAAGATTATGGACTGGAGGAACGGATCTCTGGCATCAACGAAGAGCTCGAGGATGAGGTTGGGCTCGAGGAGAGCATACCGGGTATTAACGAGGACCTTGTGGAAGATGATTACTCTGGGGGCGCTCCCGACCCAGACGATGACCAGGAGAACTTTGCTGGGTTCGTGTTTCAGCGCTCGCAGCCAGCCACTGCACTTCCCAGTCCACTCATCCCCGGGGCGCTGGAAACGCCTCGAGATGCGGACGGGACGGTGATTGGATTCGCTATGACGATTGGCACTACCCCGGATCAACTGCCTTCTCCTTTGCCCGTTTTCCCCACGGACACAACGGCCCCGCCCAAGATGGATGATGCTGAACCGGGACTTGGCATACATGTAATTGACGCCAAAAACGAGGTTGCACAGGGCGGGTCTGGTTTCGTGCAGGACATCCAGGATGGACCGGTGGGCTTGCCGCGACCGAGGGCGACACCTGCAGACGACATCTACTTCGACGACGGCTTAGCGGACGAGCTTGATTTTGAGCACGATGGCACTGTCTTTGACGAGTCCATTTTTGACATGATCGACACGGACAAGTACGGCCGTCCGATCCCAGGCGCATTCGCGCGAGCAAAAGAAGCAATGCAGACGACGCAGACACAGAATCCCAAGATCGACTCGGAAATGACATCTCGCTTATCAGCACAATCTGGGTTGTCACAGTCGACGGCCCACACATCCCTGAGCACTGGACTTCCTGGGCTTCAACATCCACCCATTGAAGCCCTAGTGGGCGAGGATGGTGCCCTCTCCGCTGAGGAGGCCCCTAATGAAACCCAGGAAGAATCCGGCATCCCTGGCCAGGATCTCGTCTACCAAGCTGCCCTTGCGGAGGCCGCACAAAAAGCAGCAGCGTCTGGAAAGTTTCGGAGGAGCTCTACACCACCGTTGCCAGCTGAGCTCACCATCACATCTCCAACTGACTCCTCCGAATCCTTGAAATACTCGGGCCACGATGCCTCCTTGGACGATTATGAGAACGATTACGACGATGGACTTTACGGGGCTAACCTCGACGACTCGGATTTCGATGATGAAGCCATCATTGCCGAGGCAAACGCTAGTGCTCTGGCCAACGACTCTGATGGCTTCTACGGCCAAGAATTCGGGTTCTACTCACAGATCTCGCCCATGAATGGTGCCTCCAACGCCTTGAATGCTGAAAACCTGTTTCATTATGCCAATGGCGGCTACTTTGGCCCCGCCGGTCAGGGTATCAGCCGGACCGCGAGTGGGCGAGTCGTCTCCCGCGAGCCGAATCTGACCCCCATCACTGAGCGCTCCGAGTACTCCAATCGTAACTCGATCATGAGCCTTGGTCTGCCCGCGAACCATGGCAGTGAGGGCAGGAGCGTACAAAGCCCCGGCCTCGCACAGTTGGCCCTCCTGGCAGACGACGACAGCATGAACCTCGCCGCACTGCGCAAGTTGCGCTCAAAAGCTTGGGGCGGTTCTCAGACCAGCCTAGTCAGTTCGCGCGAAGGAAGTCCGCGCTCGGAAAGGGCCACACCAGCTCCAGACGGCTCTAACTCCCCCTGGAACGTTCCTGGATCAAGTCTCTACGGCATAGTCGGCCCTCAACAGCAGCATACGCACAAAAACTCGGCCTATTCCGTGTGGAGCAACTCGGATGCTGGTGCAAGCGGGTCTGGGAGCCCGACCTACACCGTGCCCATGACGCTGCCCCCGATGTCAGGATCGCAGTCGGGAGTGAAGCCCTTAGTATTTCCGACAGGTAACTCTGCCGGCAACCCGTCGCTGCAACAGTCTTACTCACCATCTGCGCTCGCTCCACCACCAACTATAATTCCATCTGCAAGACCTGCCAATATCGGCATGGCCTGTCCCCCGCTTCTTGAAGAAGTCATTCCCGCCGCAGAGCCTTCGCCCGCCGCACCTGCGTCCCAGCCGCCATCAGTACTTGGAGAACCGCCGATCTGGAACAAAAGCCCGACGCAGATATTCGAAAGCTACGACGAGCGCCAGGAGCAGAGCAGCAGTAACACTACGCATACAGTCTCCTCCCCTGCGTCGCCGATGACAGGCACGACCACCACAACGACGACATCAGCCTCGTCACCACTTCAGACGCGCGCTTCTGCTCCTGTCAGCCGACCTGGCGTCGGGCATCGGCACAAGGGATCGGCGGATAGTATCTCATACAGCAAGGAGGAAGAGGAGAGTGGCGGGACGAGATGGGTGATGGAGAGGAGAAGGACGGCGGAGAGTGGAGAGGTGGAGATTTTGGAGAGGGAGGTCGTGGAGGGGGGAGGATATGATATGGATGGAGCATGGTGGTGAGTGTCTCGGACTATTGGGCTGGAGGGGATAGTGTTAATGGTAATAATGATGATTGATGAAGTTGGCGGTGCTTTGGGTCTCTTGTATGAATAGACGATGGCTCTGTACGCACATGCATAAACGGCGGTAGGGGTTTTGGATTACTTACATTTCGGGACGGGAACAGGAGCATAATGAAGAGGACATTGTCGGGTTTCGGGAGGACCGGTAGGTACATGTACGAGTGTATGATGGACTAGAGGACAGACAAATGCAAAGTTACTGGCGGCGGGCTGGAAGGATAACCAAAATGGGCCGTGGAATTGTTTGTGGGTGTATAATGGATGAGAAAAGAGAAGAGGTTGAGAGCGTGGAAGCAAGATGTGTTCTAAACAGCAAGTGCGGGAAAAAAGAATGTTTGGGGGGTTGAAAGGCAACTAACCAATATACTACATAATCAAGCACGTACTTGACTGAGCTGGAGTGTTCCAGTCTTTTCACTCAGACTCTACAGGTAGTTTATCGTGCTCTCTTCAGCTGTGATTGACAAGACGCCCTTGTCTGTGTCATGCATGTAAAGCGATGATTGAAGTAGCAAATGGTCAAAAAGGCACCATGCCAGTCCAAACAAGCAAGGTTTATTAGATCTGACGGGCAAAAGTATATGCTTCGTCACCTACAGGATTCGAACCTGTGCTCCCGAGGGAATTGCCTAAGCTTGCTAGCTCTTGTAAAAGTAGCAGGGCAACGCGTTAACCACTCCGCCAAAGTGACTAGTCGCTGGTTGTGACTTGATTGATGGGATTTCGAGGCGAGAGAGGAGACTTTGGGCTCCTGCGGAGCAAAGAAAGTGGATGGAAATAAAATGAAGTGTCACGCATGCATGCCGGTTTTGTGTGCATGATGTGGATCGATGGAGAAGGAAGGGAAGGAATGGATGCAAAAAAAAGAGAATCGTTGACCCTGACCCGATTTGAACGGATAACCTTCAGGTCTGGAATCTGACGCGCTACCGTTGCGCCACAAGGCCGTTGATTGGTTATTAATGGTTTTCATCCGAAGATGGCTCAAGTAAGCAGGTGTGTCGGGACTAGCCATGGAGTTTGATGATGTTTCGATATTCTGGCTCAAGAATGGTTCTTACATCTCTTTGCCATTTCTCTCGAAAATTAAAGTTCGAAGACTTTCCACTCCTTTTTATACTGTCTATATTATCATTAATCTCAGCGTCTCGCGTGGTACCTTACCACGGCATCCTCTCCAAACGTGCCCTCCACCCACGCGAGGAGAATTGTCCGGGAAAAGTTGCCGGCTTAAACGGAGATACTTCCCTCTTCATCATCCGAATATCCACAGGCCTTGTGGCGCAACGGTAGCGCGTCAGATTCCAGACCTGAAGGTTATCCGTTCAAATCGGGTCAGGGTCAAAGATATTCCGAACTTCACTTTTTGAAGTTCATCTCGTGATGCAAAAGTTACTTTTTTGCATGCGCAAGGTTGTTGTCCGTGTGAGTGGGGCTGATTGAAGGTTCGTGGTTGGTGGGTCTGTGGCTGCCGTGCGGCCAATCAACTGCACTGACCTCTCGACGCGGTTTGGTCATGCATGGTTGTTAGTGTTCGTTCTTTCTGCATTGACCAGGACTGACATTCAACATTCAACGTCTGCTCAACCCTTCCGGTCACGAGCGACGCCGCCAGATCTGGACGGAAGCCTGACCTCCACGCGTCGTTTCGTTTGAGATTCCAGTCCGTCGTTCTTTGATTCTTGTATTTTTGATTGGCGCAGCTGTTCGCAATGGGTGACGACTTCTCCGACTTCGAGGATGACGTTTTTGACGGCGTCGACGAGGCCCAGCTCCTCGAACTGGAGAATGCCAGCAAGGCAAAGAGACAGGCCGACGATTTGTCTCAGTCCAGCAAGCGACAGAAGATTGAACATTCGACCTCGTCGCCATCCCGACACCGAAACCCGGATCATCTGGCCTTGGCCGAGCGACTCCTCTCGGAGAAGTTCGGGTACAGCAATTTCAGACACGAGCAGGAAGGTGCGATCCAGAGCATCTTGGCGGGTGAAAACACGCTCGTCATTTTCCCCACCGGTGCCGGCAAGTCACTTTGTTATCAGATCCCGGCCATTGCCTTTCCGCTGCTGGATGAAGCAGAAGGAACGAGAGACGCAGCAAACGGCGGTGTCACAATCGTGGTCTCACCCTTGATTGCCCTAATGAAGGACCAGGTTGACGCCCTACGGAAGCGAGGCATATCCGCTGACAGCATCGACTCCACCAAGTCATGGGATGAGCTACAATTAATTTACACCAAACTGCGCAGAAGTGAGCTGCGGATTCTGTACTGTGCTCCCGAGCGACTCAACAACGAAGGCTTCATGGACACCGTGAAGGGGATCCCGGGTGGCATTCGCTTGCTGGCGGTGGATGAAGCCCATTGCATTTCAGAGGTTAGTCCAACCCTGTGCTGGTTTGAGATTGAGAGGAGTGCCAATGCTGATTAAAGACTGGTAGTGGGGCCATTCCTTCCGGCCTGACTATCTCAAAGGTGGGAATTCACGGAATCCTGATTCGCTTGTCTAGTTGAAGCCCACGCTGACTGTCTTGTTTGATGATCGAAGTCGCCCGCTTCGTGGACGAGATAAAGGCCGAGCGGGTTATCTGTCTCACGGCGACTGCCACGCCCAAGGTCGCCGAGGATGTTTGCAAAGCTTTTTCTATCAGTCCGTCATGCGTGTTCCAGACGTCTCCATACAGACCAAAGTAAGCAGTCCGCTTGCCATGAAGCTGCAACCTGGACTAACAAAGCGCAGCCTCCAGCTTCATGCCAAGAACATCGAGGTCCCTCCCGCATCCGTCATCAAGGTATTCTTGGGCGAGACTGAGAAGTCAGAAGATGATGTCAGATTTGAGGAGATGTTTCGGTTCCTGCGCAGCCACCCCGGCCCAACCCTCGTTTACGTAGCTCTGCAGCAACAGGCTGAGACCCATGCCAAGGTTCTTAAGAAGAAAGGTTTCAATGCGGCCGCTTTTCATGCGGGAATGAAAACGGAGGACAAACAACGGATCCAGGACGATTTCATGGCCTCCAGGATTCAGATCGTGAGTTATTCATCCCTCGTGGCCCTCGGCCGTCGGAGCATTTTTCTTTTCTTTTTTGCTGGAGTCATTGATTTCTCGGTTTTGTTTCAAAGGTTCGAGTTCGTTCTAACAAAGTTTTAGGTCTGTGCTACAATCGCCTTCGGCATGGGCATTGACAAAGCAAACATCCGGAATATCATTCACTGGGATCTATCCAACTCGATCGAGGAATACAGCCAGCAGATTGGCCGCGCCGGCAGGGATGGTCTCACTAGCCACTGCATGTTTTACCTGGCGCCCAACGCCTTTTACATGCGAGAAGTCTTCGCACGTGGTGATCTCCCGTCCCGTCAGTCCCTTGAGAACCTGATCTCGGACATCTTTGTCCAAGGCGCCGGCCAGCCAGCGGGTAGCGTGATAAAGGTCAGCCACTACAAGCAGACGAACGATTTCGACATCCGCCAAAACCCCCTTGGCATCATATACGCCACCCTGGAGCTCCATTTCGGGCTCATCCGTGCCATCACGCCCGAGTACTCGGCCTACAAGTTCGAAGCCACGAAGACGTACTTCCCAACCCTCAAGCATGACAGCAGTCCAGAAGGCAAGGCCGTCTTCTCGTCAGCCACCAAGAAGATCAAATGGTTCACCATTGACGTCAACGTAAGTCCAGTTCGGGAATAAAATTTAGCAAAACATCATTGACCCATTACAGGACGCAGCACGGTCAGCGGGAGGAGGTCTCAAGCGGAATGACATCATCAGGAAGCTCAATCAGCTCAACGAGCGCGGCCACATAAAGCTTCAGACAAGCGGTATAGAACACCGCTACCTGATCCTAAAGAAGCTCCCCCAAACCAAGGACGAGATCAGCTCCGTTGTCGACAAACTCTACACTGACCTGCAAAGCCGCGAGAAGGATGCGCTCGCGCGAAGCAGTGAGGTTATGGCCCTCATCACCGGACGGAAATGCTTTGCCCGCGCTCTCGCAGAACATTTCGGCATGGGCCTCCCAGAAGGGAAGAATAGTTGCGGGCACTGCACGTTTTGCATGACTCACACGCCGCTGCAAACACCTGTCAGGCCGCGGTATACGGCCACTGCGGCAACCATTCGAGACGTCCTCAAGGCGACGGACATCCGCGATGACCCGCGCTTCTTGGCGCGCGTGGCCTTTGGGATCAGGAGCCCGAGGGTGACCAAGTTGAAGCTAGACAAGTCACCGGCCTTTAGGTCACTTGCGCATTATGGCTTTGAGGTATGTGTTCATGTTTGTTCTGTAGGGCGTGATTGGGAAAGAGATCGCTGACTTGGTGATTGCCTAGGATCTACTGAGAGAGTTTGAGAAGGCTTGTAAGCTAAGCAGCTAATGATGGATGAGCACTGTTGCATGCAGGATGGGACTATTGTTGTGATCTTGGTTGTTTTACTTTGTGGATGTCGATCTCCATCTTAGAGAGGTTCTGCCCAAGCACATGTCGGAGGAGTTGTTGTCATGTTTACATCGGATGTTGGTCGATATGCTTTCATTTTTGCTGGGTTCTTATTTCTTTCGTCGTGGAGGACCATGTCCTTGAACAGGTGAGTGAGAGCTGATGAAATGGCTGATGGACCACAGCGTTGACTGACTTGTGTTACTTTTCATAGTTGAAACACTTTCTCCGACGTTCCCCATCTGCATGTCAACCTCCAGGCACAAAGGCAACACGCGAGGAAAGTTCTACTGCCTCATCTTCCTTGACTGGAGGCTGTGAGACGAGATATTCGTCACGCAGTAGTACAGTTACGTGGTGGAGGTCTTCTTACCTTCAGTGGTGTTTCACCATCATGTACAGTGTTGCCGTGCTCATACGATCAGGTCACCACCTCAGACGCCATCGTATGTTCAAATGTCGCCAGACATGTCAACCGTGTATGCGGGGCATACAAAGTTCTTTGGCCGTCCGGGATATCAGTCAATATCAAGGACATTGAACATCATCAATAGCCCATCAATAAGACCCCACAGTTGGTAATGACGGTGAGGTAATGGAAATTACGGGACGCGAATTGAAGAAATGGTGACTTGGAGAGTCAAGATTCCTTGGCGAGCTGAGGGCCTGATTCCAACGCCACGTGTAGGTGCACAAGCTACACTACATGACTTCAACGAATATTGCGCCATGCGTCATCCGGGGCCATCTGCAACTCACCCGTCCCGCAGTTCTCACCCGCTCGCTCGGGGACGGGAAACCTCCAGCCAAGCAATTTGGCACGTACCCACTCTCGAGCCACTCCATCCACCTTCTCCTGCCGCCAAGCGAGGCCACCGATCGCGTGATGGCCGCTTGCCTCCAATTGAATGTTCCAGAATCCCGCCGGTGGGGTTTCGAAGCCTCCACAGTTTGACGAGACCCGGATGGAACGGCAGGTGCCGCTTGCCTGAATGAGGCCGACCCGGCGGGGTGCCACCTACCTACGTAACACGTGAAGGCGAGTCTTTCCTTGTCGATCAGGACGGCATCTCGAATATAAATACGCAGACAGTGGCAGGACCTAACCACTTCCACCCTCGCTCACTTTCCAGACCACCTCAAGCATCACCCTTCTCTCACACAAGCCCCAAACGCCAACCATCATCATGCCTGACTTCCACCTCTCTGCCCAGGACATCCGTGTCGAGGGACACACCCTCAAGGCCCGTCT